GTAGTAACTAGTAGTAGTAACTAGTATTAGTATCAGTATTTAATATTAGCATCAGCAGTAGCATTAGTATTAGCATTAGCATTAGCATTAGTATTAGTATTAGTAGTAGTAGTAGTAGCAGCAGCAGTAGTAGTAGTAGTCATAATATTAATAATAGTTTTCATTTTAGTAGCAGTAGTACGGTACGAGTGCAAGCACCTCATCCACAGCTCGTGAATCTACGTCTGAACCCAATTGAATAAGCCCGGTTGCTTTCCTGGAGCATCCGCCCCAACCACGCCAAGAACATTGGCACTGAGAGTGAGAGGGGGAGATTCATGATGCCGACCCAAGATCCGGCCTTCCGTGCGACATTAGAAGAACTCCGAGTCCTGGGACGGGAGAGTTCAATGTACTCAAATTCTGTTGTCTCTTCTGCCTGAGCCTGAGCAAGGACATGTCATGAACTCTTGAACGTCGAACTGCCCGGTCCCAGCAGGAAGCACAGGACGTCCTCCGTGATGTTTATGTGCGGCCTTGATGGCATACTGCGAGAGTTCTCCTCATGCGCTGACCACATCTTGAAGTGTGATGCTGGGATCGCGCTCAGCAGTTTTCGCCACTCTTCGGACCAGTTGCGGAGCTTCTCCCAAGGAAGATCTGGCGTCGTTGTGGAAAACACTGGCACCAGGGCTGGCAGCTGCCTGAAACGATCTGTCACAAAAGGACGACCATTTCATCTTTTGCAGGCGCGGCTGCATGCAGATGCACCAAGTTTGTGCAGGCCGCAGCTCGACCAGGCGTTTCTTCAAAGCGGTCTTGTCCTGACAACGATTTCAAAGGGGGCATCCCCCATGCAACTCGCACACCAGGAAAAGTAGCGTCGCTAGTATGTCCCTGCTACGCTGAGGCTCGGGACGAAACGTCAGGAAACCGACCGAGAAGTATTTTGCTCTTCAATTTTCAAGCTTCCCTGCGCACCGACGTTCCTGTGCCTGGCTGTGCCTGAGCTATCCTGGCAGCCCTGGCTCCCCGGTGGGGTCCAGAAGCAATGCAAGGCCCTCTTTCGTAGAGAACTTCCGCAGGTCGAAAAGATCCTTGGGCTCCCGACTCATGCACGAACCAGCGTCCACGGAACTCAGAATTCAGAAGCTTGAGGCTCCAGGCATAAAACCCAGAGCTGGAAGACACATCCGCGCTCAAGTCGAACTCCGGGGCCAAGCTGATGCTCTGTCGGCCGCCATTGAAGACCTTTGCAGATGTTCAGCGACAGCCTTTCAGCAAAGCCTTTCAGCAAGACCATGCACTGCCTGTCTCGCTTCGTCGCACCACACTTCCGCATCCCGAGGAGATCGATACTCGACGAGACTGCGTGGTTCCTGAAGCTGCAGCATGGAAGCATGGAGAGCGTCTTGCAGCTTTGCACTGTCTACGGTACTTGCTCAGACGACCGGTTCGAATCAGCAAAGGATCGGCAGGCCATGGCAGCTCCACCCAGACTGCGGCCGGATCCTGCCGCAAATAGTGTTCATGAACCATCCGAATAGCTTCAGTACTCTGGCCCTTGACCACGAGGTTGTCTACAAGAGATGCCTCGAGAAGCACGCGCCCGGTCCGACCTGGCGAGGCAAACAAAGCAAGGCAGTCGCCACTATGCCAGCTTTCACTTCGCACTGGCTGAAACATCATGACTATAGACTCTGGAATCTGCAGGTAGCTGCCATGCCAGCGAATAGGAATGTATGTAAACATCTGATCCATATTCGAAGCTGCCAGAGAGAAACTGCACAGCTGTCGCATATCGTGGCATGTCCACAGAGGAAACATGCACAGTTCTGACATGCTGACACCTCCACATTGATTGCTCTTGAGCCTTGAGATTCAAGGCCTTTTGCAAGGCTCTGAAACTGCAGCCCCGCCACCACAATCTAAGTGGAAGGCGAATTGCTTAGTCTGCTTCGTCTCACAGGGGTTCCAGTGTCCAGTCAAATTGCCACAAACGCTGACCGGAAACGGCGCATGCACAAAACTGTAATTGAAACCTGCGCTGCAGATCAGACAAAATTTGTTGTCACTTTGGAAGGAGGAATGTACGGAATGAGCGCGGCAAAAACAAGGCGACGTGACCAAGAGCACATATTAATATACTCAGGCGGCCGAATTTTGGAGATTTTTGGAGAAGGGGCGAATGTACAAATTCAAGTGAATCCAAATTGGCCCCGAATTTGAAAAAGCGCAGATCAGCGCTCACAGACTGTTGCTGAATTTGCAAAATCACCAAACCCACTCGAACAGTGCGGTGCGGAGAGGTTCTCGTGGGCGGCCGGACCGCAGGACACCCGCCCAATAGCCTTGTTCGCGTCTATATGCGTCTATCTTCACTCCGCATGCTGCCGCCCAAATGAAAAACTCTTGAGACAGAGTTTAAAACACACACCTGGGCGGCATGCTTCTGCAGAGCTTGCTGCAAGGGATGGTGACCAGTGTACACCAGGACAAAACCCTCACTCCTGATCTTCGCAGCTTGCAACTATAGGTTTGCAGCTTCCACCGCGAAGGCCTTGCGTCTAATTTCCTCCCTCAGCCCTAAGAAACACCCCTTCATAACCTAGAGATTTACTAGCCACGCGCTCACAATGCGGAGCCACGCGGTTTGGACTGCACTGTTTGTTTTTTTTATACATTGCTTTCCAACGTGCGGCTACAAACACAATCCGGGTCAGCGGATGAAGCCATCTTTGTTAGTGTATAACGTTTCTGAGTCCGACACAGAAGTCGATTTTTGCGAAACGAAGAAGCTTATAAACGCTCGCAGAGCCAATAGATCGACTCTAGTGAACTTGGGTTGGCTATACGCTCTGGCAGCTTGGACTCTGCTAGACGAGTTCTAATGGGTTCGGAAAAAAACTATTTTGTTACACGCTTTGTCCCGCCGGGACCGCCCACGCCCTGTCGCCAGCTCTACCCTATGGTTTGAGCAACTACTGCACGTATTGGTCTTCGGTAGGACTGTGGTCGCTGCTAGGAGAACATCTGCCGATCATCTGCATCACGAAAAAACTGACTTTCGCAGCTTGATATGCTCCCATGCATCGTCTGAGAGGCAACAAGGCTTTCACCAGCACTGCCAAACCATGGCTGGCATGCTTTCGGCATGAGGCCGGTGGCCGAACCGCAACTCCTGTTGCAAGGTTGCGAACTGTGGCTGGTAGGCTGCCAACGCCTCACGCACAAACGTGCAAGGAAACCACGCCTCTTCACGAATCCATCGAAGCGGCATCAAGAGTGACTTCGGCCACAAGCAGACGAAAGCTTCATCGGAGATAACAAGCCTCACAAGATCATTACGAAGTAGCCACGATAGAACTCGGGATGAGTTTATGACATGGCTACGAGTAGCATCGCCATGGAGTCGCAAAGAAGACAGTGCTCTTTCGGGGCCAGGGGGCTGAGAGACATGACCTGGTGCCTCCCTGAAAAACTTGAGCTGGAGGAAGGGGCAATTTGGACATGCCTGGCATTGCACCGGATGCGCATCGCTATGTCCTATGCATGATCTGGACCTGCAAGTAGTCTATCCGGCACTGTGAATTAACGTGGAATCAAGTGCGGCAGGCAGACGATCTCAAAGCTGAAGCCGTCAGGCCAGGCGGCCAGGAGTCCTTCGCACTGTGCGAGCAGCCGAACAGCTATCACCAACGCCGCACCGCATCTATAGGTGCTCCTGGGTCAGGAAGCAGACCCAACCTTGCGATGAGACGCAGGGCAACTCAAAGCGGCTTTGGCCGCTTCTTTGGGGCCTTTCCGCCACCCGCTCCCCCGCTGGGTGGCTGACTCTAACCGGCCCGGCCTGAGGCCGTCTCAGAAGAGGGCAGAAGGCATGCGTATGCATGCGTAGTTGTGGGTAGCCGATTAGTTGCCAAGCCTGCCCAGTCTACAGTTTCTTACTGGTACCTCCTGATCTCAAAGTACACGGCCTGAGATGGCCTGAGCGCCACACAGCACAACCAGGTGTCGCCTCCGGGCAACTGACGACCAGTGGAGACAACAGTACTTATGTACACATAAGCCAATGAAACAAAGCACTCACGCTCCCATACCAGGACTTGCCTTACTGTGCTAAATCGACTGAGATAGCCTTCCTGGCTCTGCTGAGCGCCAGTTCCGCGCGTAGGCAGCAGTCGCCTCCGGAACTTTCCGAAGTGCATTAGGCCGCCAGGCCGTTCTACCGTGACATCAGCTAGCTTCAGTTCACATCGCGGTTGTTTCGTGGCATTCCATGGCGTGGTTTGGTGCGGTAGCTTCGCATGGCATCAGGAGAGGTGAACGCCGCCTCGCGGTGCTCCCAGGGCCTGGGAGGAAAGCAGGACATCTGGACACCGGATGCCAAGCTGTTCTGTTCAGCATGTCTGGTACAGCATGGTTCCTCGGCACTGCCAACTGGACCCCCAAACGGCCTGAGAGCGACACACCGCCATATCTGGCACTGTGGCAGCGTTGCAGCTGTCTGAGGGGCCGGGGCAGTGCCGAGCTCCAGTCGGAATTGTGGCTACTGGCCAACCCAACGGAAGCTGCGTGCCTTTAAATCCGTCCCCGTGCTGCGAGTCATCTGCCATGAGACACACGGTGCCGACAAAAGCCACAAAATCGCCTGCAGTTTGTGGCCAACTTGTCGTGGATATTTGCTTGGCATGGCTTGGCTGCAGGCGGATACCGGCCATGCTCAGACCCAGGGCCACCTCCGAGCATGCGAAGATTTTCAGCTCCCACATCGCCAGTCATGCCTGCAAAAGACACGCCTCCAGCAGCAGCAGGCGCAGCTCATCCTTCGAGGGTTCCGATCGCCACCAGAGCAAGTCCTGTCGTCAGCTACGACGCAGTCGACGACCCTCGCTCCGTTCAGCCTTCGCTCCTGGCTTCCGAAGGGAAACGGCCTTAGCTTGTTCACAAGCATTACAGCAGCCTCGCCTTTCGACAATAGTGTTCGATTTCTTGTGCTGTAGCCGCCTTATGGCGATTCACTAGCAGGCGAAATGCTCTCTGGAAGGGTATAAGCCTTTCATGCAAGAGTGAGCTTGCCAAACACGATAGACGATAGTTGAGAGTCCAACGCGAAGTTTGAGTCGGAAGCACTGCCTCGCACGCGATAGGTGCGCGTGATGCCAGGCCTTCAGTTGCGTGGGAGGCATTGACTGAGCTGGACAACTCCCAGAGCCATGGACCAGCAAAGCTGTGATCATGCAGTGGCCGGAAGACACCATCAGGCTTTGACCACACAACCACGCTAGTGCAAAACTAAGATGAAGACTCATCGCTTAACCTGAGAGTGTACAGTACATTGTGTACATTGCTCCGAGGAACTGCTGGAAATCATGCTCGCATCATCTACAAGTTTACGACCGTCCAAGCTGCAAGACAACAGAGGCATCGGCATGGACACAACCTGCAGGTCCCACCTCGGTTTGCACAAGAATTGGCTAACAAAGCTGTGGGAAGTAAAGAAGCGCGACATCGAACTCTGACAAAAGCCTTTGCCACATTCGAAACCGAGAAGCCACTCGGCATCGCGAAGGTGCTGGGCAACCCGAGCCGAAGCCTGCAGCGGCTTGGAGTCCGGACTCCTACCAAACAACCAGGCCGCCAGGCCTCTTTCCCACTTCCCGGGGCTGCACGTAGAATCACTGGTGAGGCCAGGTGCATAAGACGTGGCCTCAAGGCCCCCCTTCCGCATCTTTACTGTGCCCTTTCACATCCGTGCTCTAGTCTACAGTCTACAGTTTCAGCGAGGCTTGACAAGCAAAGTCCGAGAGCCGAGCCGTACCAACGACTTTCGAAGGCTTGGCCTGAGCTCTCCCAGGCTTCGCTCTTGGCCTTTTCTCCTCTCGTCCAAAAGCATCAAGGCTCCGACGAGGCCAAACGATGGCTCAGCCGTGGGCGATGGCGCAGCGAGAGCCGGGCGGAGCCTGCAAACGGGCCCCCCGCACACACACGGAGAACGGCCTGGGCCCTGCTGGCCCCGGGCTTTGTGCTGAGCACAGCACAGGATGCCAGAACAGCCAAAGCTCCATGCAGGCCTCACCCAGGCCCTTCCCTCTCGCATCCTCTCGTCCTACGAGTACAATGTCCTACCTGATTACCAAGGCCTGGGCATAGCACGCCCTTCGGGTGGCCCATGGCCTTGGGTTTTGAAGACGGTGCAGGACGCCCCCAGGCTGGGGATTCGAGGCCGTGGCACTCAGCGCCTGATCCAAGACATCCTGCCGACACTTCCATGATGCTCCATACACTGGGGGGACTTGCAAGCGAGGCTTCTGCATCCTCCATGAGACAACGTTACGCAGTAATCGCAGTATAACTCTGTTCGGTGTCGACCCATGCAAGCCCTCAGTGAGCCTGCCCCGCATCGTCTACAAACACCGCCAAGTCAAGAACTCCAAATCCTGTGTCGTCAGCACTGTGCATTCTTCAACCGGTCCAGGTCGCAGCATGCCCCTGCTGTCGCTGCAGCCTGTCCGGCCAATTCAAACTCTTCGCATCATGCAAAAAACTTCCGACAAATAAGAGTGCCATGTCAACCAGCGCTTCGAGTTGGGACTCGCCCTTCGGCTGCAACTGTTGTTGGCATCATGTCTCCACACTGCCCAATTTGACATTCTATCTACAGTGAACTGATCAGAGCAGGGGCCAGGAATGTCTTGCAACAAGATGCACCTGGTTTTTCCATCTTGGTTAAAAGCTCTGCAACGGCCTGCCCGACCATAGCTTCAGAAGAGGTGCCTCGGATCGTTTTGTGAGCTTTCGGGGGGCAGGTGAATTTGCTTTCCGCCCGCTGTTGTCAAGACCGGCTTTACATTTTTCTTGCACCAATGCTGCGACCCACGCATTTGCAGAGGTTCTGCAGCGTTCTTCTCCAATCGATCGTCGAGGAAGCCCTGGGCCCGTGCCAGTCCGGACTTAAAAAAGGCTGAGAGAAGCCCTGCAATGATGATCGAGGGCCCGTGCTCGATCATGCCATTGTCATGCCAGCAGCATCCAGCAGCAACAGTTAGCAGGTGGTCCCATTCTTGTGCAGAGTCTGCACCTCTGCAGCTGCCATGTAGGCATCCGGCCCATCCAAGCGCGAAGGTTCCTGTGAGGGGCAGTTGGCAACACCGAGGTCCTTGGTCGGCTGCTTCGGGCCGTTTTGTTTCAGCGCGAGTCGGAATGTGGAGTCGGAGAGTCAGGGTGAAGCAGAAAGGATCTGGTGACCGTGTACTTACTGGGCCCAGCTGGGCATGTTACAAGTTGCTGAAAGGTGTTTTTCTGTCCGCACATCCTGCGGCCTCCGGCGCTTACAAAAAGTGGGAGGCAAAACTCGTCGAAAGCCATGACAATGCTGGGTCTGTGGCACCAGTGCAGGCGGTACCTTGGAAGTCCACCTCCAGGATCCACGTGCTACCCCAACAGATTCGACAGTTGTCTGCATCACTCTCCTGGCTTTTCGCCCTCTAAGGTTCAGTCACTGATTCGCTCACCAGGTCCCGCACCAACTGGGCATCTGCCGCCTGCTTGCCAAAAGCGCGGAATGGCGCAAAGCGCCAAGGTCCCAGGAAAACCCGAACCTCCCAGCAGAGTAGTGAGTAGTGCCCAAATCAGTCAGCGCGACAACTTTTGCCGAGAGGCTGCATAGCGTCTCAAAGCGGTCCCTGTTGCCACAGCTGCCTTCCATCCAAGGAAGCTTGAGGCTTTGAGCTAGGAATTCGAATCCAGGATGGCGGTGCGCCACGCCGGACCTCGAAGCCCCCGAGGTTTGCAATCCGTTGGCCGAAGGCCCACACTGCACCTGCACCTGGCCGCGGAAACGGCCGAATCAAAGGCGGTTCTTTTGACTTTTGCTTCCTCGGGGCGAGCCTCGCCTGAAAGAAGCGATGCAGCTCCAGCCAAGTCCTCGAAGGGAACCTTGCCATGTGAACCGTCGAAGACTGGTCGTGACATTTTGAGCGGGAGGCCAGACTGCTGCTGAGGAGCTAATCCTCGCCAGCCCTCTGTGGAAAATCCGAAGCAATCACCTGCCGGAGTTGGAGTCAGCATGTAGACTTCTAACAACAAAGAAGGACAGCACAGCTTCGCATGCACACAAGACTCACCCAAGCATGTACGGTCTTCGCTCCTTTGACTCCAAAGATCGGGTCTCTCGCATGTCAATGGCCACAGTGAGTGTGGGGCAGCCTCAGTTCAGCCACCTGTTCTCCACCAGCTTGCGTGCCTGGGAGACCACCAAGCCGACCAGGAAAACGGCGAAGGTGAGGCAAATGGCGGTAGCATTCAGGATCTTTCGGTTGTATGCCTCCGTGGAGTCAGGGTCGATGTTCTGTCCTGCCTCAGAGCCCTCACCCCAAGTTGCCATGGCCGGCAATGCGTTGGTCATGGCAATGCCCGTGGACAGAGCCGCCGTCTCCATAATGCGCAGCTGCTGCTGTGGACCCTCGACGGTTCGGGTGGGTGCCTGCACGAAGGTGCTGGACTTCAGCAGCATCACCAAGGCGACGCACAAGGACAGCGGCAGCAGGATCGGGCGCGCCATTGTGCC